GCAAGGGCTTTGCCAGAGCTTTTCCCTGTTTACGCATAATCGCTCCCTCAGGTCGATACTTCTTCTATGTCAAGGCAGTAGCACGGTAACGGATTCAGTCCCCTTGTTTCCAGTTGCTAGTGTGGAAATGACTGAATGCTGCCGGGTCGGACGAGCCAATAACTCGAACGTGTTCGTCTGTTTTTTTGCTTGCGAGTTCGACTGATTCGGCAGTTGATCTATACTGTTTTTCCGCTTTTGCCAATGGCTGCTGGGACCCGAATGAGATCCTTTGATTACCCCCTGGCAAATCCCAACCCCTAAGAGCTAAGTGGGTCCTTCTTGTGTAAGGGGAGAAAAGAGCTGTGAGGTTTTGACCCCAAATGTCAATATTTTTCCTAGCTAAAAAAGAGAAAGATTAAGGTTGGCTTTTTCCAACCAAAGAAGGCATGGGTCACTCAGTAATTTTACTCGTTTAACAAGTCTTCTTGGGGACGCCTAAAGGAAGCAAAGTGAGGATAGAACTTAATGAAGGGGAATAATGAAGCATTCGGATTCGTCCAGTATATAATGGCAGAAGAGGAGCCTGAGAAGGAAAGCTTGAATAGGTCCTAGAGAAAAGTGCATTCTATTCCCATGGATCTCCGATCGGAAGCTTTTTAAGGACTCGCTAGTGTCCCGCCAGGGAATTGACCGGTAACCTCACCCGTAAGCTCTTCGAGCTTCACTGAGGGTAGTTTTCGACCTAGCTGGTTGAGAAAGCCCTTTTCCCACACTTGAGTCACTAAGAGGATTCTATTGGAACTTCTCACCAAAATTCGATCCACATCCTTGTCCCAGAGGTATCTCATTAAGATACAGAAAAGGAGAGAAAAGCAATTCCTCATATAACTGAAGAGGGAACGTGTCCGGGATAGAGATAGGCCGAAAGACTGGAATAGAAAATAGAAGATAGGGTTACACAATTGCTGGGGACTTTCATGAGTTTATGTAAAAGGAACATCAAATCCTGGATTTTCGGAAGTCTTCTAACAGAGAGATAAGTCACGAGATGGTTAGTGATTAATGTCCGTGGCCTCCTAGCTCTCTTCTTAAGAATCCTAGGCTCTCTAGATAGCCCAGTTTCGTTCGTTTTCTCAGTAGCAAAAAGCGCTTCTCTCTAAGGTTGACCCCGCCGTTCTATGAAGAGCAGATATAATTAGATTAGTGTCAATAATTTTTTTCTCCTCTGAGTTTAAAGCCAAAGCCAAAAAGATCGATCGTCTCGAATCTATTTCTATGGTAATAGAACATTTTGCTAGCACGGTTGGGTAGCCAGTCTGTCATCAAGGAAGCTAAGGTACGATCTTTCTACTGCCTGGCTCCCCTTCGTTTTAGACCTCTTTCTCTCATAAAGAAGTGTTCAAATCAAACCCGAACAGGAGTACTCTTCGTCATTCTATGAAATTTCTTGGCTTGTACTATTCTCTTTCTATTTGCGTCTAAAGAATGCTCTTATAAAGTAAATGGAAATCGGCCCAAGAAGTAGAGAAGCTCTTTTTGACTTATTTATAGTCTCATTCTGCTTGTGGCTCTGCAGCAAAGAGAAACAACTGTAACCCTCCTTTCTATCCTTTTCTTCTCTTATGGAAATTCCGAATAACTTAATAAATAAATGAACTATACCACTCGGTATGGGATTCAAAACCCTCTTTCTTTAGCCCTTTTTCTGGAGAATAGATGGTGAAAGGGTAGCCTACAAGAAACTTTCGCTAGCCTAGTACGAGAAGTTAACTGTAAAGGCCTATCATCAACTTCTAGGATACTTTATTTGTTAAAGTAAGTTGAAGCATGGAAGAGGGGCTGCGATGCGTGGAATCCCTATCAATGCAAGTACGGCTTTTGAAAGAATGGGCCTAGTGATCGATAAGAATGAAAAGATTGGGACTAGCGGAAGCTTTCCAGTGAGGCTGGTTACCTCGAACTCAAGTTAAGAGGGGTAAATCGAACTCAAAGTGAAGCAGTCAATGTCAGCGTCGGCTATATGAAAGCGGCTAAGAAGCATGCTATAGAGCTAAGCATGATATAGAGCTAAGCATGCTATAGAGCAAGTCAAAATCCCCAGAAGTTGGCGCTGCATCAAGCCTCTTCTGGACGAGCTGAGGTCTCAAAAGAGTCAATGCTTGGACATAGGCCAAGGTGAAGAAGAGTGGCTGCATCAGCAGTAGGGAAACAATGCGCTATGAGATCAGGGTACGGGGTACAAGAGTGAGTTTTCATTTGAATTAGAACGAGCTTTCAACGTAAAAAGAAATCGTCTTCTTTTTTGCCTATATTTGAATAGGCGGGGCTTAGCTCTAGCGGGCTGGGCTTTTGACCCTCAACAGCAACTTCTTCGAGAACAGCAATGAGTGCACAGAGCTTGAATAGGGCCAAGAGTTGATCAATTGCAGCCATTCGATGTCCTATTCTTTCTATTCTATTATGTGATTTTCTCCCCACTTGCCTTAGTAAGCCTTTTCCCCCTTCCCCAGCGCGGATTTCATTACTTTGACTTTCCTTAGGGCAAGAGGTAATTCCGTGAGAGGACGGAACTTCCTTCTGTCTGCCCCAGGGATCATCTGTTGACTTATCGACAGAAGCCCCTTTGCTCTGCACCTCGGCTCTCTTTCATTAAGACTCGTGTAGTCCACCCTAAAAAAAGAGCTCCACTTTAGCAGGAAGTGACTTATTTTGGAAAGCATAAGCAGATTGATTGGATTGCTCGAAAGGCTAAGGAAGAACTATTCCTTTTACTGATTGGATATGATATTAATGAAATGAACTTCCTTTTATTGCTTGCACCACCAAGAAGGGAGACGTGGCCCTAAGTTTAGGTTGAGACGGGCAGCGGCGACGAGCAGGCCCAGGTCCTTAGGGTGGTACTCGTTGTCGCGGCTTTTGTCCCAAGAAGGCTGGGTCAGCAAAACAGAGTGTGGGTCCCCAGTCGCCATAATTGGCCCTGTTAAGCATCCCGACCAAGACAAGCCGTCTGGTGTTCGGGAACTCCGCCTATCTCAATCCTTGGATGAGAAAGAAGTGAAACAGGCAACCCGCAGCTAGGGTGAGGGTATAGATGGAAAGTCTGTATTCGAATACCCTTGAAAAAGGACCTTCTTATCTATCTTTCTTTCAAAGAAAAGAAGCTAGAAGCCTATAGAAGATCCCTTACCGAGCTTTCACTTCCCTTCCATTAGGATGCACTTTCCTTCGCCCTTTTGTGCCTCCCCTTTGAAGTGGCAACTGGATTGCCCTAGTGAAAATGCTATCTCGATGGAAGCCTAGATAGGTCAGTGAATTCTTTGCAAGTTGCTTTTTATCCCA